GTCCCAAGTTTTGTACCAGTCATTGGGACCTTGAACATGGCAAGATAATTGTGTCCTTAAGCAGTTTGCAATCTGGTAACAACACAGCATTAAATACACAATTTGATGGTGCAACAATGTTACAGAAAAGCACTTATTGAGTATTTTGATTATATCCAGATAAAAGAATAATGCCTGTGAAATAGGGCAAGGCTTCCTAAAATGTCAGAGGTGGTATTTTAACTGATAAGAATGAAAAGAGGTTTATCTGGCAAAATGAAGGCAAGGGGGATCCCAGGGAACCGAGAAGCTGTGGGGAGCTGTGAGGACAGAGGGCATGGAAGGGAATGACTTGCTCCAGGGGCAATAAGGCGTGAGCCGAGAGTGGGGAAGGACTTAGATTTGGCTTAGAGCTAGAGAGGAAGACAGACTGGCTCTGTGACTGCACATAAGGCCTTTCTCTTGAGAATGGAAGGCTAGCGCCCCAGAGAGCACTTTAACTGCAAATGGGGAACATAAATGTGTCTTGACACCTACATCTGCGTGATCTGCCAGGAATAGCACTGTTGACTAATTTTTCCTCTAATACGCCCAAAATTCAACTACTTCTCTCCACCTCCACCACTCCCACCGGGGACAAGTCTCCAACACTCTCTCCTCTTGCTCATCCCTCTGTCCCCACCTTGGCCGCCCTAGTTGTTCCCAGCGCAGCAGCTCCCCTGGCGCTCTTCCTCAGCGGGAGTCTGATTCACACACAGCTGGGCTTGTACACTGTCCCTCAAACACCGGCCCTCAGGCTCTGCACTCCCTGGCCCCTTCCCCCCACAGCCCCGCTCAGCTCAGTCACCCCACTCTCGCACCTCTGGCCACTGCCTCCTCGCTGACCTCCACACTGAAGTGTGTGCCACGTCCAGACTGGGTGCCTGCGCTCCCCGAACCCGACTGCCTTCTCTCAGCTGTCATCCCTGCATAATTCCTTCCTTCTGTTCAAATGTCACTTTGCTAGGAGATCTCTCTCACCTCCTTCAATGCCAGCAGCCCACAGGACCCATCATCCTGCTCTTTCCTTCCTCTCTTATGAGTTTATCTGATTACTGTTTGTCCCCTCCTTCCTGCACTAGAATAAAAGAAAGAAACATGAGAAATATGAAAGCCATTCAACAGTGTCATTGTTTTGTTCACTGCTATATCCAAGGTTCACAGAACTGGGCCTGGCAGAGTAAGCCCTAGGTAAGTATGTGTTGGATAGATGGATGTGGATGGATGGAAGGATGGATGAATGAATGGATGGTTGGATGGAT